TATATATATATTTATATATAATATATATACATAGAACATGAATATAAAATATATAATTTTTGACAAAACTTCTCGTGTTTCTATATATTTACCGGACCACGATCTTCGGAACCCTAGCTCTTCGATCCTTTTGTGGGCAGAGATCAAATAAAGCTGCACAGCAGGAGTTCCCTCGCCTACGCATTCAAGTGATCTCACCTGGTTATCGAGGCAAGCTTGCCCCTTTTCGTCGTTATTTATGCAAAACATATCTCCCACAATCTTCTTTTTTCTCCAGTTTCTTATACTCGATTTGGTATCTATTTCTGAGTCCATATTGAAATGCTGATATGCTATGGTCTGTTGCAAAAGCTGCTACTATATTGTTCTGTTGCAAGATCTCATTGTAATTACTATGTGAAATATTCGGCACGACGGAGATACTGTTTTTATTTTTTATCTTCTAGGTGGACTCCGTCGATAGCTATATTTTGGTCTTGCTTTGATTCTTATATGAATCTTGAATTGCCTGATAAAGCAGCGAGGCAGCGATAGCACGCTTATCTTTGGCCTCGTCTTTTTGAGTCATGTCTCGCAAAATCTATGTTGATGCAGTTTGGTGCTATGATGGATGGTGACTCCGGCACACTGGCTGAATCAAATATTTCATGTGGACGTTGCGGCAAGCCTGCTCACCTTCAGTATGTTAATTCACCGATGGCCCATTAAATCTATTTTTTTAGTAGTGTTGGTTATCATATTTTATTTTTTTGTAGAAATTTATTATTTTTATTGAATTACTTTATGGTTGTTTGTTGATTTGATAAATATCAATAGAAGTGATTTTGCTGTAAATCCACCCACTAATTTGCCACATTAAAGGCGCACTTAAGATAGTGAAAAATGTCATAGTAGAGAGGAAAGAAAAATTGGAAGTGAGAATATATGTAATGACACTACTCCTTCTATAAAGTGCCATTTGGACAGAAGTTAGATCCTCACTCCATATGTTGGTCTAGATCCCTTTTAGAGATTATTATGAATAAAACTACTTCTGGTACTGCTGACATGAAGTTATCTTAATCTTTTGGAGGTAATTCTGTAGTTTGCATTAGTCGGAAATTTTTTTATTTTTATTTTTTGCTTGAGAGACCTAGAATTTAAAGACCAGTAGATTTTTTTTTTAGTTTAAATTCCCGCGGTTGGTTTAATATGGTTCTTATTGATATTTATCACGCTTTTAAGAAATTGCAGTATATGTGCCAGACATCCCCATTTTCTTTTTGGATTGCTATAGGCTGTTAATGTGAGCAAATATGTATTCTACCTTCTGAAACACCTGCAGAAGTCTACAAATGCAGTCATAGCAATAAAAGGAATGATATTGAACCATTGAAAATGCAATTCGTGGTTTGAATAAATAAACCCCAACAAAAACTACAAAGAGATTTCTTAGCATGGATAATGACAATAATAAAAGAACTTCCTATCATGAATTTGTGCATATGTATTGAAACAGATGATTGAAAAAATCATTAGAAAGTGAAGATGCTAACATATTGCAGATCCAACCAATTTAAAAGTGAATACTTTTGTAATGAACCCTCTGCTTAGAAGACATGAGATGAAAGAACATTCCAAGTGAAGAATCTCCAAATTGACAAATTAGGTTCCATGGTTAAGTAGGCCAATTTGAGGAATGATGCTGGAGTAGGATTTTAACATTCAACCATAATCCTATCCCAAGTCAAGCCCAACACGAGATTTCAGGTCTCGGTTAGCACAATCCACAATCCAATCTTGCATCTTTAAATTTTTTTTTTTTGTCATTAGTGATAGATTAAAGGTTTAAAATGCTATAATAAATGGCATAGGAATTAAGTTAATTTGTTATGACATCCCTTCACTACAAGAGTTCATTTTTTGTTGTTGAGAGCGACAAATTAATTTCTTCTTCATCTTTTTATTGATAATTTATTATACAATATTATTACCATCTCCTCTTCATCCATGTCAAAGGCCAGTAAAACAGTCCCTTTCCTCTGATCTTTATTATGACCAGTCTATATTTTCTTTTTTCCCCATAACATTTCTCACATTATTTAGTGCATTGAATCCTAACTATATTTTTAGGCCATTTTTCATAGAATTTATCATGTTAGTAGCTAAAATTTTTATAACAAGCAACAATAAGTTGTGATGTTTTCTTATTATCTTGGGAAATGTAATTATATAATACTTGCAATTTACATTTATACACAGCTTTCCTATGAAAACTATAATTTCTTGAATGACATTTCTTACAATTTTAAGAAGTATATTGTGCGTTTTACTGCATATCTTTGAAAATTTTTGTTTGATATGTTACACATGCTAGTATATTCAAGTTTTGAACAAAACTGTATTTTAATTTTACATTGCTTTATTGTTTAAAAGTAGCATCTTCAAAAATATCCTTTTATTTAAATAGTTTTGAGCCTAAACACCTGGGAGACAGCTTCAAGATTATCAAAATAAGTTTATTTTTGATGATCTAAAATGATAATCCCATGGTTATTAGCCATAAGTACTATTTGAATGGCCTGCTACATTCACTTTCTAACAACTCTACAAATCAAACAAACATAAAAAGAAAGGGAAGTGAGGTCATTGCCCATTAGCATCTAGTATTCCAAGGGAAGATATTGACTCTATGGTTTCAATTTGAAACTAATAACCTCATAATACGGATGCATTGATATTTAAACCAAACAAACGAAAGTGTTCCTAAGGTTTATTCCACATGCTTGAGAGGTAAATTGTCCAATGCAATGTCAAAAGTTGGTTTTGCAATCCAAAGTGAAACATTAATATTTTGTTAACTCTTCAAGCTCTCATAAAAGCTTTTAATTTTGAATTAAATAGCCTAGGTAAATAGTTTTAACTGTCAAACCATCTAATTCTTTAGCTTATCCGTGGGAGCATCAAGGTTATGAATTTTCAACACCGAGCAAGAATCGGAGCTATAAATTTTAGTTCTTACTTTAAATATTGTTGGTAACTTTGAAATGACTATTAGTGATTACGAAAATAAAAATGTTAGAATGCTCTGAGTTGCACTGCCATCAACTAGGGCAAATATTGTTAAGATTCTAGTAATGAAGACAGTAAAAGCACAAGTTCAAATATGGAAGAGCCTAGTTATGAGCAAGTAATATACATTTTTGAAATGCTCCAGACCTAGTTATGAAGAATAAAAATGGCTATTAGTGACAGTTGGGTTGATAGGGTTCTAATTTAGGATTTGATTAAATGAGGCATGCAACTGGTGAACATGATTTAATGATTAATCCATATTAATTTTAGGTTTCAGAAATATCTCCCCTTTTCCCTCTTCCATCCATGACAAAATGAACATTTCCAGTTTAGAAGAAATATTTTTCTTCCTTTTATTGTAAGCTGCAAGAAGTTACGTGTGATTTAGCTTTGATTACTTCATTGTGTATTTGATTCTGTGCAGATGTCCCAAATGTGTCGAACTAAAGCTACCTCGAGAAGGTGCTGCATTTTGGTGCGTTGTATGCTCTCCCTTCTCGGCATCTTTTCAGAAAATGCATCATATTTATACATTGATACATATAAAATCCTAATATTGTTTTCCTAAATTCCATGGATATTTCTTTGAGCGCTTGATTATGGTATTAATTTGAAGACCAATAAATCTAAATTTTTTTACTAGTGTTCTTTATTTTATGTTTTTTTATAGAATATGTGTTTGTTAATTAAAGAAAGACCCGTCTTAAAATAACTGCTCCAAGTTGATCTGGCCATTTAAGATTTGGCTCTGTTTGTGCTGTTTGATGTTGTTTAATATTATGTAATTCTTTGCTATCTTGTAAAGCGAATGTTTATTTGATACAACATGCTGCTGTTACTGATATGAGAAGTTAATTAACCACAAAGAACTTTATTCTGAATTCATGTAACTTTAGCTTAACATAAAAAATATTTATTATTCGTAAATTATTTAAACTAATTAGTTTGTTAATGAATCAATACATTACTAGCTCACAAATTTTTGCCTTGATTGTCAAGCAGCTAATTATTCGCTCTATTAATCAAACAATTTTAATATCATAGTTATTTGTTGAGGCATAGTTAATCATAATTAATTTATTCATTAATTAATGTCAGACTAGTTAGAGTAACATATCGTTTCATCAGTTAATTGTAACTATTTATCTTAATTAATCCCTAATTTATATAAAGTATTTAGCACCCAAAACATTAACCACTACCTGATAATTTAATCCATTAATTAACATTTTTTAATTGAGTAGCTCACGAGCTAATGTGTTCATTCTAGGTTGGCTCAAGTTTAGATTACATAATTAACTATATTATTTAACTTATCAGTTATTAGACTATTAAGAATATTTTATTATCAAAATCATTAATCACTACGTTTAACTAATTTTTAATTAGCTCAAGTAATCATTTAGTGCATTAACCTATTACTAATTAATATACATTATTATTCCAGGTTTTAAAAAATGAGTAATTATGAGTTTATCCAAATAAGTGTATTTTACATATTTAATTCCATTTATTAATGCTAATTTTCTATCCTGATTAATCTTTAAATTATCATTTTATTTGTTCAAGTAGACTATTATGAGCAAGCGGTTTCAAGCATTTGTCTCAAATTTTAAAAAAACTGTATTCTTGGGAATTTCTTTTTTGACTCTCATAAAGTGAAATTTTTTTCGCAATGGCTGCTATTCTCCTCAAACAACATCTGAAAGTTGATTATTCTTTCCGGATTAACAGATTTTGACAGCTTAAATCATCACCAAAATTTGGTTAATTTATCCAAATTGTGGGTTATGCTTTTCCTGTTGATAGTGAACTTGTTTTGTCGGTTAGAAATTTTTTTCTATTTCGTGATCTTAAGAACCGTGAGTTTGCTTGTTCTTATTTATTTATTTTTGTTAGTGCCTTGAGGATTGCTGGAAACAGGATTAGAATGTTGCTTCTAGCTTTAGTCCTTTTTGGGTCTGAATTCCATATGCAGCATTTTCCTCTTTCTTATTCTAAATTTTTTTTTTCTGAGGTCTCCCAAGTAGTGTATAATCAGTTTGGCTAAGCCTATTGGTTTATTTCATATCAATAAGATATAATAATGTCTTATTTTGACAGTTAGGAATGCATTTTTGTGCAGCTCTCAGGATTGCTTCAAAGCTTCATGGAGTTCTCATAAATCAGTCCATGTGAAACTAAAAGGTGATGTGGCTCTTACTAATTCTGACGAGTTGCAAAAGAGTTGGCTATACTGCCTAAAGAAAGGCCAAGCCCGGACGGCTCGGCCTCCACTTTTTGATTGGACTGGGTATAATTTTTCATAATGTTTCATACTGTTCTGTGTCACTTAAGTAATTGAATGTTTTCATCTATTATTTGGTGGAGTGTTATTTCAGTTTCACTTATATGAAATATATGTAAGGTTTACGGGCAGAATCAACTGGACCTTGATATCTTGTTGGAATCAGCTCTATCTTGATATTTTGATGGTTAATCTATTATGTACTTTTTAATGCCACTTATTTTTTTAAATGATAGATTCAAGATGGTTAAAATTAAACTTTTTTGTATTTATTGTTGTTAATGTGTTACGGATTCTGTTGTTGTACTTTGTTTATGTGTGTATATTTCTTCTTATAAGCTAGATCTTTATTAGTTGCCTTAATTTTTGTTTATTTATTTATCCTTTCAAGTAGCATAATGGGGCTCTTAAGTTTGTCCTGTTGAAATAATCCTACTATTCTTGGCTAGCACCTTTCCATCTACAATATCCAAAACTTTGTGGATAACAACTTTTCATCCTCAACATAACAATTTGTGGACAACTGTTCTCTATCTGCTTCAATACAACAATCCATGGACAATAATATTTCACTTCTACTATGCTATTAATTATTGACTCCAAAATTAAATTTAAGTTTTATATTTATTTTCTTAATAGTTTTTTATCTAACTACTTATAAATAACTCTTTTTTAATGCAAAACGAGAGAATTAAATTTAGTCAAACAATATCTCATTTAGCATTCTCTTCTCATTTTAATTTTCAAGATGGTATGTGAGGCATTAATGTTCTACTCCTTATGAAGCCGATAGGTTTTTAATTTGAAGTTTCTGCTCCAAGCTGATGGATCCTTCACATTACCGAAAGTTAATCTTCGTTTAAGAAGTGTGGTGAAAACGCATGTGATAGATTCTCCTGAAAAGAAGGCAATCACTTTTATCATGAAGAAGCTATTGGTCGAGAAATTAGTTACTCTAATGATGAAACAAACTTTTAAATGGGAAATCAAGATCCAAAATCCATGTGGAGATATTGGACTACTAAGTTTGAAGTGAATTTGCCAGTAAGTTCCATACTATAACCTAAAATTAATCGCAATTCAGCTATGAATATGTGAATAATCTCCAAATTAGGATAACCTCAAAAGAATTTTATGACCAGGGATAAGAAAAATGGTGAAGCCAGAGATATTGGACTACTAAGTTTGAAGTGAATTAGCCAGTAAGTTCCGTACTATAACCTAAAATTAATCGCAAGTCATCTATGAATATGTGAATAATCTCCAAATTAGGATAACCTCAAAAGAATTTTACGACCAGGGCTAAGAAAAATGGTGAAGCCAATTCAGAGATCTTCTCATCAAATATAATGGTAGCAAGCTTGTCTGGAAATAAGGATGGCAATTTTTGAACAGTTGAGGCAAGATCTTGCTGAAAATGAGCGGGAAAGGAGATGGAATTAGGTAGTAAGTCAATGACGCATGGCCCCCTATCAGCCTTGACAAATGATATTGGAACATAAGGAAATTTAGATCCTGCACGGGGAAAAGCCCTAGGAGTGGTAGCATTCAAAGAAGAAGCATCATAATGCAAAAGAACTTGAGGTGCCGTTGGTGACATGAATGGAATGGATGTCGATGGAAGATTTGGGGCCAGCGGTGTGAGGATGCGCAACGTTGGGCATGAGAAAGTGATGACATGTTAGATTAGAAGCGAGCAATTTTGAACTAGTATCGGCGAGTCACCGTTGTCTTCACAGGAGTGAATGGTGAGAAAAAAGCCTGGGATATATGAAGTTAAATAGAGATATCATAACTTTATGATTTTACTGCCATTACTGTTATTCTAGAAATTATTTCATCATTTATCCAGTTTTTATATCTTCAAATATACAACTCATAAAACCATCAAGTTCTGATATCAATTTTCAATTAAAAAATCTTCGACTGTTTTTAAAAATTTTTGATAAAAATTTAAAAAAATGCTTTTGCTATGCAACGCTTTAGTCATTTTTCTTACATTCTTCCCCATTCTCATTAATGTCAGTTTTACCTTATTCAAGTACTTGCTTATCTGGTTTACTGTTAATTTTCCCCATGCCTTTACTTATACTCAAATGGTCTAAAATAGCACTGTTGAATGCACTATAGCTTTTTCTTAGGCAGTGTGGAATCCGACACTAATCTTATAAATGATTTTCAGTATTCTTTGAGGATGTTGTTGGCAACTGAATGATAAATGATTTTCAGTATTCTTTGAGGATGTTGTTGGCAACTGAATGATAATTGTCTGGCAAATTTATAGTATTGAATTTACTTTTCATTTCACTGCCTCGTTTTCTAATTTTTTCTCAAGAGTTCTAATAATTTTTGTATGAATTATATAATGAAAATGCATTGTTATGTTCTTGCAGCACACTAAGACCATATCCAATATCAAAATTTCGAGCAGTTCCTGGGTCGATTGAGAAACCTGATTGGGCCATAGATGTGAGCTGACTCAACCTTTTGAACATATAGGTTCTACTGCCCTATACCACACTACTAAAGTTTAATTACTTATCAAAAAAATATAATTTTTGTTTTCTTTGACTTGAAGTGTCTTCAATGCTTTGTCAGAGTTCAGTTGATGTCTATTTTTATTTGTTTTTTTTCCCGTGTCTCAATAGATCTTAATCATATGGATGATTTAGTCATCTTCTGCATGGTTGCATGCATTTGTTTCGATAAAATTAATCACTCCTTCATTATTACTTCAGGCTGTCTTTTGTATTAACTTGATCCTCTCCAATCTGCTTTCAAAATTGTTAATGCAGAGAGGATTATGGAAATCGTAGGTTTTTTCATACTGAACTACTTTGTATTATTTATTAGATCAGCATCATCTGAAATAACACACACCTGTATTTTCTTGTCTCTTATATGCCTTGTATAATTTATTATATGCGTTTGATTTTTGGCATTCTTAATTGCTTTTTGACAGATTTAATTTTTTTTGTCATTATAATTACAAAACCACATACTAAGAAAAAGAAAGCAAATTATAATTTTAAATATTAAGCTAAAGTGAAAGTGGGAACTATATTCAAACATTTATTTGAGCCATGTTCAAACCATATTTGACTATGATTCGAAGAAGATTCAAACATGATTGAAATCATGCTTGAGCAACATTTGGCAGATAATCTGACAATAGTGAAACCATATGTTGTTGAACTCTGTATAATCTACATAGCTTGACATGATCAAATATGTTGCCAAATATCTATGAAGGGTCAACCAAAAGTATCGATGAATAATGAATTCGACAATGCAAACATCAAGTCTAAATTACTTCCATCGTCTTCGAGATCCTCCAAATAATTCCTGCTTGCAAGATAATTTTTGTCAAAATTACGAAGATAATTGGCAAATTCCCTGCAATACAACACACTAAATCTACATATGCAAGCGGATGACGATATGTTTCTGAGATGTAGGAATGAATAACATTTGTGAGGCATATATATATATATATATATATAGAAGAAAGAAAAAAATATAGCTATACATATATATGATCAATTAATTATATATGTATAATTAAATAATTTTCTTATTAATATATACCCACTAAACTATATTATATTTATATAATTAAAAGAAAAAAAAAACATCCCACTTCCCTCAAATTTTACCACATACTATTGCATGTGTAAAATTCCAACTCCTAACATGTCTACGCGTCCTCATCCTTTTATTGCCAAATAAAAATAATAATAATAAAAGAAAAAAATTCCCAACTCCATTCCTCTAGTTTGGATCCAATTTGAAACCCACGCATAAACTCATTCCCACACCATCAATTGATGAAAACCCCCTTCGATTCCTCTCGCACTACACCTCTCGCCAATGACTCCACTATGGCCGTTTGGTCTGCTAAGTGCTAACCACACTTCTACAATAAAAAACATGAGATTCTACTCCACCGCCTCCTGTTCTCACGTGAAATGCATCCCATCCTCATTTTGACGAAACCCACACCCACGCCGAGGAGCCATCTCCCTTCATTTCCTCCTGTCAACCAAACTCATAACTTTTTCTCTTCCATTCTTGTCTCTAACAACCGACATCACCAAATGACCCTCCCAAACACAAGCGATCCACTCCCCACGCTCCAGATCCCATTGCTCCACACATACCCATCTGTTCCGCACTCGATAAAAGCTTAGGCTAGCAACGTACTTAGGTCACATATCGCTTTCTCTTCCCTCTCTTGCAATCCGCTTGAGGCTCACTCCTCACTTGCTGCTGCTGCCTTGCTCGTCTAGCATCCTCTTCTATTCCACATCATTGCAAACCCACAAATCCCCCTTTGTTTGCGATTGCATCATACTGGATTATTATTTTGGATCCCTCACATTGTAGCAGGTCATCCCAAATGATGTTCATCTCCTTTTCTCCCGGGTTTTTGCTACAGCCATATAACCTTCGTCTACGCTCTCATCTGCTGAAAATTCACTTCGATTCCTCACACAACACCTCTCGTTGACGACTTTGGAAAATGCTCTTCTTAATCTTCAATCTTGGTGCATCATAAGATAAGCTTTATTTTTAACATCCATCACCTCTCCTCTTCCTCCTCCTCCACCATTTAGATAGAATCGTCATTGGTCCTTATGACTCCTCTTCTCATCATCGTTCTCGGTTTGCACAGACCGAGACTTCACCTTCCATTTCTTGTCCCCATTTCATACCAAAGCTCTACCTTCTCTCGTCTTAACGCCATACTCTCCACCCAGAATCTCTTTTGTGCAGATGAGCTTTCGCTAAGCTATTCAGTTCTCCATCTGCTACATGAGAAATTAGCTTAATTGTCTCCTAGTAGGAAAACCCAGTTTCACCTTCACTTTTGGCTTTCTCTAGGCGACCCGAACTCCAATGGCCACCCTCTCCACTCATCCCGCTAAGATTTTATCAATTCTTCGTCTTAGTAAGGTATAAAATAGGCAAACTTAAGTACCCGTTCGGGATGTTGCACCTCGTCCCAGAAGTTCTGTATTAAGTATCCATTCGGGTGTTTCACCTTAACATGGAAACTCTATTTGGTTATTCATGATGGTACCTGAAGGCCAATTCTATAATTACCTTTTCGGATTATTCAGTCCCGACGGGAAAACAATATTATGCTTTATTCAAATAAGTATAGGCCTATGCATGCCTCTTGCGTAACCAAAGCGATTCCTGTTGATGGAAGATAGGTGTTAGGCATATGAATATGTCGAAGACATTCAAAATCAAGTGGGAGTCAGGATCTCTGGCATGTCCAAGTGTTTTTCGAAATTTTGACTGAAAGTTGAACTTAAAAAAATAAAAAAAAGGTCATATTAATCAAAACTTAAAAGAACTCGTATTGATTAAAATATGAATTGCAAATCAAAATAATAAAGAATTCCAATGAAAATTTAAAAGCAAAATTTAAACATTAAGCAAGATTTACAGGGGACTCGATAATTCATCTATAGGCACGAAGAAAACTTTTAATAAACTCAGTCACTCGAGAATAAACATAAGTAGAACCTGCAATGAATTGCATCACCCGCTCATGAGCACAAGCAAAATCATTTAATGAATATTCAAAATATTGGTTCGAGCTGAAAAGGCATAAAATTGAATGCAGATAAAATTTAAAGAAGCAAGTTCCTCGTTCATAAACTTTATTGAAGCTTAAAACTCAACAAAGTATGAATTGAATACAAAATAAATGTCATATTTTGAATGTATAATAATAATGTATATGTGCACAAATCACCATTCGATCTGCAACCCTCAATATAAGCGGACTAAAGACGATATTTAAGCTTAAATGAAATATTTGTGTGGAATTTAGTGATAAATTATTTGCAGAAATGCCTGAAATTCAGATGAAAATGTGACAACATGATTTTTGAAGACATTTTGACTTAAAGATGTTATCTTGAAATTCAAGGAAAAACATTGATTATTGCACATCCACCTCAAAATGCATGCACATGCCTAAACTATTAAAATGCATGTGCTTTGCTCACATGTTGAATGCTTGATCGTATAGTCTAAGAATACTTTGCGCACTTAATTTGAATTGGATATTAAATTTCTTATTTTGAAAAAAAAATGCCAAACTCTTAAAATACTCATTTTTTTTTAAATTCCGAGAAGTCTTTAAGTAATCTAAAAATATCCAATTACTCTGAACATTGAAGATTTCAAACGTATTTTAAAATTCAAAAATTTACGCTCTCAAGTTGAGCCGTCTTTTTTATAGAGCTCGGTTGTAAGTCCCACTAGCCCAATTTGATCCTCTTTCAAAGGACTAGAGTTGATAAGGATGAGTAATGCTTAGTCAGTCATATTTTTCTTCATATAGGGATTGAAGTTGATAGGAGTTACTAATAATTGAATATTAATTTTATATAAGAAATAAGGGGTGTTTTATCTGTATATTCACAAGAAGTTATCTTAATTTTTAACCCAATCCTTTATAAACGGTGTATAGGTGAGAAGAATTAAATGAAATAATCAATTTCTCAGTTATGACCGAGTTGTTAGAAAATTTCAACCGGATAGATCAATTTCTCAAACTAAGCTTTAAAATTTATTTGAAATTCAATTATCTAAATTTTTGAAACTGATTCTCTATGAGCAGGGCAAAGTCAATAATTTTCAAATCAAATAATTAATTTTCCAACAATGGCGAGTTGAAGGAAAATTTTAACCAAAGGAGTTTATTTATAGCAAATTTCTCGATGATCCCTTATAAGCAAGGCATAGCTCATAATATTCAAATCAAATAAGTCAAATTTCTCGATGATGATGGCCGAGTTGTTAGAAGATTTCAATCGGAGGGGTCTATTTGTTAAAATCTAATTTCAATAAATTTCTTTTGAAGATATTCAAATCATACAATTCTTAAACATGATCTTCTGTAAAGTGGGGCAATTCTATAATGTTCAAATCAAATATTTAATTTCCCGATGATGACTGAGTTGATATAAGATTTCAATCAGAGGGGTTTATTTTCAAAATTTACCTTTTAAATTTATTTGATATTTAATTCATATAATTTATGAACTCGATCCGCTGTAAGTAGAATAGAGTTGATAATGTTTAGATTTAATCGTGGAAACTCGAGCCTTTTCAACCAAGACATAAAGTTGGCAAGATTTAATTCTAATAAAAAAATAATAGAATCCAAAAAATTATAAAAAATAAAAATTATAAAAATTAAAATCACTAAAAGCTAAAAATAAAAATTTTTCCACCGTCTGCATCAGTTTGTCGAGGGCAATAAATTTATGTCTGATCTAAACTCACTTAGAGCTAGTGTCACATCATATATACTACTAAATTTACTATCAAGTTATTCTATGCCGTTATGGATGTGACCTGTATCTTTCCTTTGTGTGGCTTGGCCAACCGACTCCATGAAAAATTGGTTAAGACCTGAGCACCCTGACCGGGTAGTTGTCGTCAAATGACAATATTAAATTAATGTCACAAATATGACCCGTATATTCTCCAATGACTCTTTGCTCTTTGAAATGTGAATGATAAGATATATTTGATAGGACACAAAATCTTCTGTTAGCTAAGTTTGACTTAAATTAGTCTTCTTAGACAAACTTCATCCCATGTGTACAAGGTCCCCATGGACAAAGTAACTCCTGACTGCTAAGGATCATTCAGACAGGTTGAGTCGACTACTTTCTCTGACTAAGTTGATCAGGGTTCATGACAATTCAGGAAGACATACCAAGAGATCTTGATCGGGTTTGTTATCATCTATACTTTTAAGCTTAAAGTAACAATTTTTATAATGTATAAATTCAATCAAATTTCACAATGCAAAACCCTAAATTGCTGCTACTATATGTTGAGTCATCAACGCCTCAACGACTAGCTTTAATTGAAAGCGTTCTCGTGTTATCAGAAGGGATAATTAATCATAAGAGCTTGCGTCTATGGGAAACCTCAAACCCCCTATCAAAAGTCCTCACAAAATGAAGGCGAAATCTTTGGGTAGTGTTTTATCTAAAATTTCTTCAGCCTTTTGAAAATTTAACCCAAAACATCAAATAAACTCCCTCGTCGGTTATTTTCGAGAGGGGATAGGGCAACAAATTTTTGGAGCCTACATATGCTTGTAAACGCATGCCTCAAATGCCTTGAGGCGCACATCTCAGATAAAAAAAATATTTAAGTTTCACTAGGGATAACAACGCAGAAGTCTTAGACATTTTTTATGCACTTCATATTGGGGCGCGCATCGAGGTGCTCGCTTCAATTATTTTTTAAAACCATGCATAATGCATGATGATGATGATGATGATTCATCTTTCCTTTGCTGAAATCAGCATCCATTTTTAATACTTCTCTGATGGTACCTACTTAAATTCATTTAGGGTGGCCTAGATAATTGCGCACAGGGAAGACATGATGATATATTGTCCAGTTATTTGCCTGCTAGGTTATTTTAATAATGAATGTATATCTTGAGTTTTCTGTTATATCTTGTGCCACATTGAAGATTAGCAAAGTTTCTCGCTAAAAAAATTTGCAAGCACACCCAATTCCTTTTTTGTACAGTAAATAGAGTTTTATTACTTTTTCTGAAGCTCAGTTGGATTTTACTTAGCCCTTAAATTTTTTGAGCTTATTCTATTATGGTACACAGTTGGTTCACTAGGGAGAAGTGCTAGTGTCTGCTTGTTTTCTATAGGCTTATTTATTTTGGCAAATACAACATTGTACTGGGTAGATACATTTCTAGTTGGTATCACATATTTTAATTACGTAAAGTTTGCTATTCATTAAAATTGTCATTAACTTCATTATTTTCAGATTCGTTTATTGTGGTCTTTTGGTTTTGCACCACAATGGTATGATATTTCTAATTATATAGATTCATTTAGCAACCATATTTTACTCGATGTATGCTGCATGATACTTACATTGCTGGCTGAAATGACATAATTTACTAATGGTTATGAGTTTCTTACGGTGGGAGGTTCTACCCTAAAGTGAACGGCGGTGACTTTAATCTTGTATATATTGTATTCCAACTTAAAGTCGCTGATCATGGTGGTGGTGGTGGTTATATAAATTCATCACAGCAATCCAGTCTTTGTTAACTACACTATTTTACATTCTGTTCTCAACATATATTTGTTTATACATCCGCTTCATACCATTCATCAGATACATGGCGAATATGGATTCTATAATGCCTTCAAAGCCCTTCTTTTCTGTGCTCTTTTTCTTTGAAAGTGAATTTGGGGATTTGGTTGCTTATCTTTACTTAAAAAAAGGAACTAAATAGATGAAATGGAATTTTTGTCCTGCCAGGGAGTCCCCAAGATCGAACCAAACAGTGACTTGCAGAGTAGAGTAGAAGTAAGCATGGCTAAGATTTTAATTATATCAAGCTTTAAGTGATAATCGAAGCGTAACTTTATTTTATATTATGTTGGCATGTGTACATTTTAAAGATAAAGACGGCAGATCAGATCGACCGAATGAGAGAAACATGCCGGGTAAGTTTGTCGTCATTGTTTTCTTAATCTTTCTGTTTTTGGGATTTGAAGTCATTTTGTGTATTAATAATAAGTCTGTATGGTGTGATTCTATCATTTATATTGCTACATTAATGTAGCCACGGAGTGAAAATAGAATCAACAACTAATTAATAATTTATAGTTCATGTTACTGAGTAAATAGGTTGTTGGATAGTTGCTTTCAATTTTTTCCTAAATGTGATTATCCATAGGAACATTTAGTGAATGGTTGGGTAAACATTAAGCAGTTTAGAATTAAGAGTTGGTCAACTAAAGCCGTAGCCTATGAAGTCTTGACCATTGTTTCAACTTTTTTAATAGAATTCTGTTAATCTTGATAGAAGCATTACATGAAATAATAATCTGTGCATAGTTTTTTATTTTATTTTATTTTCATTAATTAGTTTATTTTAATGTGTTATTTTTGTAATAAGAACATGCTAACAATGATGGACAAGAGAGGGATGTCTTTCATGTTGGTTTTTATGATTTGGCATGGTTTGTTTTGAATCAATTTAGTTTAGATCCCGCAAAGAATTGAGGTTGTTGTAGTAAGGTTGTTTTGGGATGTCTATGATGATTCGTTGGAATTTTTTGTGGCATTAAGAGATGGGTGTAGTTATTGGTGTGGGAACATATCCATTCTTTTGCAGGTCGTGCTGCACGTCTCTTAGGGACATCAGGTCTTTTGGTTTTGGTGGCTTTTTCAGATCTGATGAATTGAGATTGTTGTTTTGCTCTCTTCTTAAGTGTTTTGAATTATTCAGTTTTAACAACTGGATGATTGTTTCAAATGTGGATAGGAATTATGAGAAATTTTAAGTTTTGGCTATAATTAATTTGGAAATAAATTTAAACTTGTATTTTTGTCCTATGCTAAGTACTAGAATAAGGACGAGGAGACTATAACTAGTTATTTTGTATCACGTAGTTCTGAACTTTGTGCTGAATAAAATTTATTTAATATTTTCAGCCTTATGAGTATAAGTTAGATCTGCGATTCTTTCACGAGTAGTACAAATACGAGTATTGGGGGCAGCCATCTCCTTGTACTAGCGTACGGCTTGAATTTGTTGTGGCATTAAGAGATGGGTGTAGTTGTTGGTGTGGGAACATATCCATTTTTTTTGTAAGTCGTGCTGCACATCTTTTAGGGGCATCATGTCTTTTAGTTTTGATGGCTTTTTCAGATCTTATGAATTGAGAGTAGTTTTTGTTTTGTTCTCTTTTTAAGAGGTTTGAAGTATTCAGTTTTAACAACTGGATGATTGTTTCAAATGTGGATAGAAATTTTGAGAATTTTAAATTTTGGCTATTATTAATTTGGAAATAAATTTAAACTTGTATTGAGTTTGTCCTATGCTAAGCACTAGTATAAGGATGAGGAGACTATAAGTAGTTATTTTGTATCATGTAGTTCGGAACTTTGTGCTGAATAAAATTTATTTTCTTTTTTCAGCCTTACGAATACAAGTAGATCTGCTATTCTTTCATGTGTACTGCAAATACGAGTATTGGGGGCAGCCATTCCCTTGTACTAGCGTGTGGCTTGATTTTTCTATTTTAATAACTTCATTTGTTATTTTTTTTAAAATATGTATAATTTGTTATTAGTTTACTGCATATTAGATAGTTCTCAATTGTAGCGAATCAAGTCTAAACTCATAATAAATATACAATACACACTGATAGAAGTGACAGGAGTCAAAAAAAAATTTTTGTAAAAAAATATAAAAAAAATGATAAAAACCACGATGTCTAGGCGCCTAGCCTAATCAAAATAGTTCACTATATAAATGTTGTCACAAAGTTTCACACTTCTCCTCCATTTGAGAAGATCCCACAATATTTATTTATTTATTTTTGTTACAATCAGGATAATTGGATGAGAACTTTAATGTTAATAGTTAGAGAGCATGTAGATAATAATAACTGGATTATAAAATCCGTTGGCAGTGGTCAGGGATGATTTATAGTGATTATGGGCTTTTTTCTATTTTCGTGAGTTTAGATTTAATTCTGAGTTTTTCTTTTCTCCCTCATGTTAAGAATTGTAATCTATTTATAGTTTTGAGTGTAATATTTTGGTAAATTTGACTAAAAATCCCAAAACAGTTTATTAGCTTGTTCATGTTGTTCCTTTGGTCATAGAACATTCTTTCAACATTTAATAATCTTAATGATTCTAAAATTGAGTGATCTTATGTTTGTTTGATTCAACTCATCGAGACGCTCAGTTTAACTATTAGCATGTCAAATTCAAAGATTGTTTTACCTGTTAAGTACGCTTTCAATTACTTTTCAAACGTTTATTTTGGGCTTATTTAGACTCAAATTTAATCACTTTAGGTGTTGTTGGTTTGTATTATTGAGAATTTCAACTTGATTATAAATTTCTTAAAATCATAGTTTGGATAAGCTTGAGTTTAACAATTAGCACGTCAAATTCAGAGATTGTTTTACCTTTTAAGTGATGCTTCAAAGCTTTCAAATACTCTTAAAATGTTTGTTTTGGGCTTATTTAGATTCAAATTGAATCACTTTTGGTGTTGTTTGTTTGTATTATTGAGAAGTTAAACTTGATTATAAATTTATTAAAGTTAAAGTTTGGATGAGCTTGAATTTTACTTTTAAAGCTATCTTATCCGAAATGCATTAGGATTCATTCCTGATAATATGAATTTTCTAGTAATATATCAATTGGCTCCGTATATTTTTACATCAAGACCTTTGCTAGCTAAAAATAAATCCTGTGTAGTAGAAAAATTTTGTGATATCAAGTTAAAATTTTGGAGAAATTATAATGCTCAAGCACTCCCTAAATATTAACTGAACCTTCCGTTAGGTCCGTAAATCAAGTAAAGTTATTTTAATCATAATTTCAAATATTTTTGAAGTTAGCATTGTTGAACTTCGTCATTTAACAAAAGTATACTATTGACACGGGGAGCATCAATCAGCATGCCATCCATATGATTTGTAAAATCAATAGCTGTGGGGTTTGACCACCCATCTCTTTTATGAGGACTGCATTTAGGTCGCAATTCTCTAGTTTAGCTGAACAATTGTTGTATTTTAAAGCTATGCTTATATGCAAAAAATTAGAGTAGGAAAAAGGGCGTGTGTGGGTGCTTACGTGCCCGTGTGGGAGGAAGAACCCTTTGAGCCTCATCGCATCTCATTTTTGTGGTTATGTTGGGGGAACTTTAACAAGCTTGGAGGAATGATTTCATGGCACGAGCAACGTACTTGATAGCTTGGATCAACAACAGAGGCTAGCACAAATGAGGATGGATACCTTAATGAACTACTTCATATAGATTAGAAGCTGACATTATGATTATGTGGGATAGTTGTACTCTTCCATCTCTAATATGTTTACGAACAAAAACTTCAATCTTGTCAATGTCTCTTTCCATTGCCATCATCGTATATGGAGCCTCCAAGATGCTTGTGCAATGAGGTGGATGATTAGCAACTCTCTCTTGAGGAAGCTCTCTATTTTTTACTCTATTTATGTTTAGGGAAACGAGGGAAATAAGTGACTTAAGTGTTGGGGTGATTTATTTTTCTTTGCTCATTCTAATCTTGCTTTGCTTTTTAGTTTATGCTAACTTTTTTGTTGTTGTTTTTTTTTAGAACTTCTTGAGAAAGATCTCATTGGTGTTGGCTTGGTTTTGTCCCAAAATTGTCATGTGGATAGCTTACATTTTTTAAATTAATTAACTTTTTTTTTTATAGTGGAGAGGGCATAATAATATTCAAAATGTGCCTAGTCGCTATATATTAAGTTGTATTAATTTTAATTAGATGAAGTCTTAAATTTTAGACATGCGTTAACATAGCATTACTTGTTGGCTTCTTTAATTTTTATGAAAAATAGCAGTGGTATCACTACACTGGCTCGTGGAAATCATTTATTTATATTTGGTACAATAGTACCATGGTGATATGCCACTTTTAGTCTTTTGTACGCAGTTTTCATCACAAATTCACCATTAGTATGTAATATTACGCTTTTAATTCCTATACTATAATTTTGACTGATGCGGGAAAATATTTAAAACAATTTAATGCTTCTTAAAGTTGTGTAAATTTCAAGTATTACACTATTACTCGTACAATTTTAAGCATAAAATCATTAAGTGGCAAATCACGAAATGATGAATGTGAGTTTTCTAACCAGGATGTTTTTAGTAAAAGATATTGGAAAATAAAAATGAGTTATTATTTGTTTGAAAACAAAAGAATGAGAGTTTTCATCTGTTAAAAAAGAGATGAGAGCTATCATCTTTCTATAAAAAAGATTTTTGTGACATGAAGTGTTTCTTTGTATTAGCTATAACACTCCTTGGTGGTTTGTCAAATTTTTTATATGTTTTGATGGAGGTACTAATAGACCCTTGAACGGCTCATTTTTCATGAGATCATGACGTTTTATTCACATGTCATTTTGCTGAATCTAGGACTACATGTGGTTTAATTATGCTCAAAGAAAATCAAACATAATTCTAAATTCACTTAGATGGAGGTACTAATAGACCCTTGAACTGCTCATTTTTCTTGAGATCATGAAGTTTTATTCACATGTCATTTGCTGAATCTAGGACTACATGTGGTTTAATTATGCACAAAGAAAATCAAACATAATTCTAAATTCACTTAGATCACATAAAAAATAAAACCATGTGCCATCAAGAAAAATATGGTACTCGAGAGTTTGCTTGTATCTTAGCTAACTTATAATAATTTTACAAATCACCAAGTTAGATTGAGGCTGATGTGAATGAATAGTCCTGGCATAAATTTTTTTCTTTTGTAGGTGGATGATAAATATTATTCTTTTGGTTAGGAGAATGATAATTTCTTTTTTTTTTTCAAAATTTATGCGAGAAATATTTTGCTTAATAGACTCGTTTCATTTCTTTGGTTATTTGGCAGTTGATATTTTCATACTAGAAATTTCACAAGTGATACTT